TCAGTTCTGACTCAATGGTAGTGAGATTAGAGTGGAACCCTGGTGGTTGGTACCACAGTTAAAGACTTTTATTGCTAACAAAAAGAGCAACTGCTCATAACTACTAGCTGCTCTTCTGGAAAAGGATGTCACAGTCTGCTTCTGGAACAGTTTCCAGCTTTGGAAACTGTAAGACAGTACATTTGGATTTTGGTATATTGGGTTACACCATTGTCATCTTGGAGAATAGGAATATCTAAGGTTTTTTGTTGTTGTTTTTTTCTCTAATGGAATCTCAGCTGCAATTTCAGAATTAGTTCATTGATACCTTATTTGTTTTGTACAGTAATGTAACACCATTTTTGGGCTGTCATATCTCCTTGGCTATGAAAAATTTGTGAAGTTAGTAGTTAGGAACAAGAGTATACTTAGTAAATATCCCTGGACCATGCAGACATTTAAGTGCTTGATTATTAACCAAAGATCATTGATTTTAACCCACTCCGAAGTGCCTCGAAAGGCCTCTTGTTTTGCTTCTGAAAGGACACAGCCTTGAAAACACTATGAAGTTGTTCTGCTCTGCATTCATGGGCACACCATGAGTCTGAACCAACATGAGAAAAGCAAGGCTATACTTAGTAAGCCAGATTGGTGGCTAATCATAGTCAGACGTCAAACTTTTTGCTGTCAAGTCAAAACCAACTCATACCTGACCCTCCATTGGGTTTGTGAGGCTGTAAATTTCTGTGAGAGGAGATTGTCCATCATTCTCCTATGGAGTATCTGTTTTATTTGAATCACTGGATTGGCTAGAGCTTTGGGTTAGAAGTTCCAACTCCCTACACACTGGCCTGCTAGAACTCTGTTTTTAATCAGATACATTTTAAAAAAAATTTTAATCAAGTCGTGAGTGGCAATACTTAAGGATGCTTTGGGTAGAATGTTAAATGATCCAAGAAGCAGTAAAAGAAAATGGAAGGAGTATTCAGAGTCACTATACCAGAAGGAATTGGCTAACACAGAAGAATTTCATGAAACAACGTATGAGCAAGAACCTGCGCTGATGAAGGAGGACATTCAAGCTGCTCTGAAAGAATTGGCAAAAAATAAGACTCCAGGAGCTGATGGCATACCAGTTGACATATTTCAACAAACAGATGCTGCCTTGGATGTGCTCATTAAGTTGTGCCAAGAAATCTGGAGGACAGCACCTGGCCAGCTGACTGAAAGAGGTGAATATTTGTTCCCATTCCAAAGAAAGGTAACCCTACAGGGTGCTGAAATTATCAAATAATATCATATCACATGCAAACAAGATTCTGCTGAAAATGATCCAAAAACTACTGGAGCAATACGTCAAATAGAGAACTTACAGATGTGCAGGCTGGATTTAGAAGAGGCTGTGGTACTAGGGATATTATAGTTAATGTTAGATGGATCTTGGCAGAAAGTACCAGAGGAATATCTGACTATACAAAGACTTTTGACTGTGTGGATCACAACAAACTGTGGCTGACTCTGAGAAGAATGGGAATCCCAAAACATTGAACAGAGCAAGGAGACACTGCATGGTTCAAAATCAGGAAGGGTGTCTGCCAGGGATGTATTCTGTCTCCATAACCTTTTCAATCTGTATGCAGAACAGATCATCTGGGACAGTGAGCTATGCAAGGAGGAGTGTGGCATCAGGATTGGAGGAAGATTCAGCAACAACCTGCATTATACAGATGACACAATCCTGCTTGCTGAAACTGAGGAGGACCTGAAGCACTTGTTGCAGAAGGTTAAGGACTGCAGCCTTCAATATGGATTGAAGCTCAACATCAAGAAAACCAAGATTCTCACCACTGGGCCAAGTGGCAGCATCATTATGGATGGTGAAGAGATTGAAGTTGTTAACCGTTTTAGTTTGCTTGGCTCCACAGCCAACACTCTTGGTACTAGCAGCCAGGAAATCAGGAGACAAATTGCATTGGGAAATTCAGCTGTCAGGGACTTCTCCAGAGTACTGAAGAGCAACAATGTCAAGCTGGAGACCTAGGTGCACCTGATCCGGGCCATAATCTTCACAATTGTGTGCTGTGCGTCAGAGAGCTGGACAATGACTATGTATGATAGAAAGAAAATTGATGCTTTTGAGCTGTGGTGCTGGAGAAGAGTGTTGAATATACATTTTCGTCCTGGAGAAGGTGAAGCAGAGCTACTCCTTGGAGGCAAGGATTCTGAAGCTTCATCTGACATACTTTGGACATGTTACAAAGAGGGACCAGTCCATGGAAAGGGACATCATGTTTGGGAGGGTGGAGGGGACAGCACAAGAGAGGAAGACCCTTGAAGAGATGAATCAGTTAATTGATTGAGATAATGGGAGTAGCTGTGTCAGAGACAGTGATGTTGGCACAGGATAGAGCAGAGTTTACGTCTCTTGTGCATAGGGTTTCTATGAGTCGCAGGTCAGCACATAACAACAGCAATCCCGTTAGAAGTCTTGTTGAATCATAAACAGTGCAAAAAAATAAGTGAGAACATTTTTATAAATATTGTTCTGTTCTACATTGAAATAGGTGTATGGAGGACAGTGAAAATCAACATAGTGAATATAATCAAGATTCTTTGTACTTTAAATTGAGACTTTATTTTCATGTTATTGTTTGTCTCTCCAACCTCCTGAAAATTACACCATTCAATAATATAGTAAGGTATGTGACAGAATGCTATGGGAACTTTAAGTTAAACATCAGACATAGACTTAACATAAGACTTTACTCTAGATTTAGTAATTATAATTGCAAGGTCTTTAGGTGGTGCTGGTGGCCTAGTGTTGGTAAGAAACTGCAGTGCAATTGATTCCAAAGGCACCACAGTTCAAACCCACCAGCTGCTTCACTGGAGAAGGATGGGCATTCTCCTCACATGTGCAAGCCCACTGGAGGGTCAGCTCTGGGTTGGTTCTGACTCCATGGCATGCAACGAAAGCAAGGTACAACAAATTATTTTTACTCGACTACTGACTGCCATGCTGGCAGTTTGGATTAACAGTGCCTTTTTGAAAGCTAAGATGCACTTTTTCTAAGTCATCATCTTTTTGGTTACTTTCTATACATCTGAAAGTTGGACAGTGAATAAAAGATAGCATTATTGATGCCTTTCAGTTTTAGTGTTGAGAAAAGTACTCAATACCCCATAGTCTTCCAAAAGAACAAACGTGTCTTGGGAAAAGTGTTGCTGAGGTGCTCCTTAAGAGGCAGATGATAAAATTCTGTCTCATATCCATTAGGCATGTTAATAATATGCTTGGAAAGGTAGAAGGTCAGTAAAAGAACGTAAGACCCTCAGCAGTCATCAGAATGAATTAAAACAGTGAATAGCAATGGGATCAAGTGTTTCAGAGAACAAAGATGGGGCAGGGCTCAGTTTGGTTGTTCAGAAGTTCCCTGTGAGCTACATTTGACTCCATGGCTTCTAACAATAAGTGGTGCCCTGGATGAAAAGCCTGCAGGCTGCTTCTCTAAGACTAGAGCCATTGAAAAAATAATCATGACCCTTAAGGTTTCCAGGACTTGAGGTTGACTTGATAGTAATGAGGCCTATTTAATTTTTTTATGCTTGGAAGGGTAGAGGGTCAGCACAAGAGAGGAAAACCCTGCATGGGATAGATAGACACAGTGACTGTGGCATTGAGGTGAGGTGTATCAGAAATGGTGAGGTTGGCTCACGATAGGGCAAGATTCAGAGTCATGGTTTATAGGGTCACTATGAGTCCGTAGTTAACTCAGTGGTACACTAGAAATTAACTGTTCAAAAACTAATCCATGTAACCCACCAAATGAGCAGGATAGAAAAGGATAATCCCATGGTCAGAATGGATTAATACAAAAATTAATAACCTCCAATGGTGAGGCCCAAGTATGTACATTTTGAATGTTCCCTAGAGTTAGAGTTAACTGGCTTTGTTTGGTAATCACTGAATTAAAATGGAACACTTAGTTATTGTTCACAAATTAGCCAAGAATAAATGCCCTTTGAGAATATTTCCTTTGGAATTCTTTACATGAGGAAGTTCTCAATCATCCCAAAGGCCATCTAAAGAGCTCTTACTTAAAAGGTCCTAGGTGGTGTAATGTAATGTTGAGTTGCTAACTGAAAAGTCAGTGCTCTCAATTTACTGGCTGTTGAGAAGAAGAAAGATTAATATTCTCCTTCCATAAAGATTTACAGCCTCAGAAACTCAATGGATCGTCACCCTAAATTGGAATTGATTAGACAGCTATGGGTTTGGGGTTTTGGTCATGTTAGGATATAGAAAAATGTAATTTTTAGGATTGCTAACATCAGATTTTAAAATCTGGTGTAGCCAGGACTATAGTCAAAATTGACCATGTACCTTCTGTAGCAGATAGCTAGAAAGCTTTGTTTTCTATACCAGAGATAATGATTAATTTGGTCCTTCATGCCAGTATATCAAAACAAATATTTCCTATAAATATATGCCTTGATGTTGGGGAGTTTTGTGAAGAATATTACAATGTGAAACTGAGCGAATGTTTATTTACATAACTGTGTTATGTGTAAACAGGTGACTAGCTTTGATTTCAACCTTTTTTTAGTGTTGTCATGCTATTAAAATATAATATACACTACCAAGTAAGCATCACGAATGTTTTTTAAAAACTGGTGAAAAACTTTAAATGAGGAAACAAGTTGAAATGATCAAAATAGAAATACATGATACTTTAAGATTTAGAGATAAAAGTTACCCTTTTCTGGAGGGTGAGGAGTGGGGTAAAAGGAAAATATTATATTAGCTTTTTGTCTCTGTGTGGTTTATGTGTGAGGTATTTATAAAATTTGAAAGACTTCTATCTTGCAGCTATCTGATACAGGTAGATAGATACTCTGCTATTAAAGAAATCTTCAGTTTCACCAAATTAAGACCGTATTAAAATTACACTTTTAAAGACATACCTGAAACTCTATTAATATGCATTGTAATTTTATTTAAAACTTTTCTAAAATTTCAGGTTGCAGAAGTTTTGCAAGTACCTCCAATGAGAGTATATGAAGTAGCAACTTTTTATACAATGTATAATCGAAAGCCAGTTGGAAAGTACCACATTCAGGTCTGCACTACTACACCTTGTATGCTTCGAGATTCTGACAGCATACTGGAGGCCATTCAGAGAAAGCTCGGTATGAGATGCAGTTATATTTGTAACTTTTATGGGAAAATATAATTTATATAAAATTACTTTTTATAAAAATATCTTTATGGCTGATGTTATGTGCTATAGAGCTGGTTCTGTTTCACTGACCTATAGAGAACAGAACAGATCCTTGACAATTCTCCTGCCCCATCATGGGTCATCCTAATAAGCTCTGCTGCCCTTAAACCTATTTTTGCTGTCACTGTCATACCAGCTCATTGAGCTTTTTCTTTTTTTCTGACTCTCTGCTTTTCCAAGTATGATGTTCTTTTAAAAAAGCAAGCCCCTCCTGATAATATGCCAAAAGTATGGGAGATAAATTTCACCATTCTTACTTCCAGGGAGCACCTAGGCTTCACTTCTTCCAAGGCAGATTTCTTAGTTCTGTTGGAAGTCTATTGTATATATTCTGTATTCTTCTCCAGAATCACAGTTCAAAGACGTCAATCCTTTCTCCCCCCCTTATTAGTTTGCAATAGTAATTAGTACGCGTTATAATCATTCATGTATATTGTGTTTTAAAGACATCAGTTTTCATTTGTCTTTATTCCTTGTTGAACTTTAACATGCATAGATGGCTTGGGTTAGTGCACCTTAGTCTTTAAAGTGGCATCCTTGCTCAGTATCACTTGAAAGTAGTCCATCACAGCATATTTGCCAGATACAGTATGTCTTTCTTTTTTTTTTTTTTTATGGTCAGAAAAATTTATTGCATTTAGAATTAGCCCACTGGACTCAGTTTAGATGATCCCAATTTTGTTGGCAACATCCAAAGCATCGTAATCAGGAGCAAGTCGAACATAGGCCTTCTTCTCTCCATCAGGCCTAATCAAAGTGTTGACCTTAGCCACATCAATGTCATAGAGCTTCTTTACAGCTTGTTTAATTTGGTGCTTATTGGCCTTGAC